ATTTGCTCTTTGCCAGAGGATTTTCACCAAAGCTTAGTGAATACAGTAAGATTTCACTTTACAAAGAATACCTGATCACATGAAAGAAAAATAAAAAAACAACATTTTTGCTTGCACATGATTGAATGACAGAAGTTACATAATATTAGTGGGTATGGTTGAATAAAGACAAAGGTCCATCCAGTTCAACCTGAGAGAGTGTGTGACTACTGTTTTCCATATCTCTGTACATTGTGTTCATGAAAAAACACTCCTAACTTTTTTAGAACTTATTTACACTCTCTGTTTACACCACCAACTGTGGAAGGGATTTCCACATTCTTACCACCCAGAGTATTATAGAATTCCTTATGCATTTTAAGATTGGACTGTTTCTTGTTCAACTTCATTATGTGGCCACCTGTCTTTTTATAGATCTAAGATTTAAAAGTCTCCTCCCAATGCTAGAGTCGCCATTTAAAGATTTTATTAATGCTATCATATCCCTCTTAAGCGTTTGCTTCTCTAGGCAGGATAGCTTTAATGTCTGTAGTTGTCCCTAATAACTGAACCAGAGTTTTTTTTAAGTGGTAGAATTATAGGTTTATCTCTTGAGTGAATGCCTTTTTAACACATGCTAGTAGTTGTCTGGCTTTGCTTGCTGCAGTTTGGCATTGCATGCTATTGCTGAGGCCTCCAGATCCTTTTCCATTCTTGATTCTCCCAGAGGTTCTTCCCCTAGCGTGTAACTTGCATGTATCTTTTGAGCCCCCATTTACATCACTTTACATTTTCCTACATTGAACTTCATCTGTCATTTAGCTGCCCACCCTTATATTTTAACTAGGTCTTCTTGTAAAGTTGCTACATCCTGTTGTGAAGTCATTACCCTATTGAGTTTTTTATCACTTGTAAACAATGAGATTGAACTATTTATTCCAATCTCTATATAATTTATGAACAAGTTAAACAAAATTGGTCCCAGGACAGAGCTCTGGGGCACTCGGCTCACAACTCCAGACCATTCAGAAACTATGCCATTAATCCCCACCCTCTGGGTGTGCTTCTATGCAGGTACATAAAATATCATTCATGCCAAAAGAACTTAAATGGGAAATTTAGCAGAGATTCACCTCCTTTCCCTTGCAAAGTGTAACTTCCTTTGCAAAGTGAAAAGGCTATTTGCCTTTAGTAAATCAATCCCTGTGTGTAGGAAGGGGGCTCTTGGGAGATGTACTTCTGAGTGCCTGCATCAATAAGAACTGACCTCCCAGCATCCCTCCCTGAAAAAAACCTGAAACATGATCTTGAATGTGAGAGTAAAGCCTGACATTCAGGCCGTGTGTATGGCAGCTGGTCCGACAGAAGCCAGTCGAACGTCCAGCTTCTGTCGAATGGGCATAACCAAAAAAGGTCTGCCAATCAGCATCCAATCAGTGCTCTCAGCCAATGGCTGAGACCAATGTGTTCTGGCGAGGGGGGTCTACCCCCATTCAGAACACAGTAGCTCAGCGGGGAGATTGCTGTATTAATATCGGATTTTTAGTACAGGATCTTCTCCCAAGCTCCTCAGTTTTTTTTCATTCAGCCCACTGGGTTGAATGAAAAGAAACTAATAGTGTGTACTAGGCTTTAGGTTTACAAGTATATTGGACCATACCTATACAGATCTTTAAGGAAGATAAGTCTAGCAGTTGCATTTCTGACTCAAGTGGTGCTAGCTTAGTAATTGGCAGCCTGCTCCAAACAGGATATCATCAGTGAATGAGTTAATATTTTAGTAATGATTAGAGAATATATTAATAAGTTAGTGGATTCATTAGTAAGGGGATGTGAGATATGCTTCTCAGATAAAAGCAAGATTTTGATAAAGCTATCATATGCAGGTGGAGGACAGAGCCAAATCAAAACAGACCCCTAGAGAGCAGGCTTGCTTTGAAGAAGTGATAACTGCATTGTTAAATGTAAGAGTTCAAGAATAGGAGTTTTATTGCAGAGTGGAATAACTAACAGTTCAGTGTTAGAAAGCCCAAGCGTACATTGTTTTAAATTTAAAATGTATTTTATTTTAGTCTGGAACCCTATTATCCATCTAAGTCCCAGCTGCTTAATGCTGGAGAATAGTTTTGTGTTTTTGCTGAAAAGAGTCAATTGCCAGTCTCCATCTTGTTAACTGCAAGGCTGGGCATGTGCACATTGGACAGGTATGAGCTGCTGGGTATTTTATAAGGAAAGTGTTGGCGGATTTTGTCTGCTTCAGGCTGTTGTGAAACCACTGCCTAATTTGCCACCCAGCATACTGAGAGTTGAAATGACAACTGGACACACCAGAGAGGAACTGGTGACTACAGTCATGGTTGCCAAAATCTCCACTGGGAGTGACCAGTCTGTAACCACTGCACAATCAGGGTATACTTCAGCTGCTAAAATTACAGGGGAAACCAGAGTGCTGCCCTACACCTGGAATGATTCCTGCTGTCGAGATCAGTAAGCAGTCTGGAGTTCTTAGTGTCCCTAGTTCCTTAGGCATTGCCCCAGTCCCTGCCCAGCTCTTCCTAGCAGAGATCCTAAGAGACTCTGAGTATGACTCACCTACAGAGTTAGAATAGGGGGATCGCTTTGACATTGTGTCCTTGGAGATGCTGTGGGGAAACAGGGAGTAGGAAAAGCAGGATTAGGGGGATGAGGACACCCCCACCACTGCTGCCTGGCACCTGCTTCAGAACATTCTCTTCAGCTTTGGCTTCAGCTTTGGCTGTCACTAGCTAAATGCAACACTCTTCCAAAGTTAGAGGGAGAATGAAATAGTGATCTTTAAAGTGACCTTTGTGAAGAAGTCACTGGATTCCTACCCACTACCTTGGTGTGGGAACCCCTAAGAGCTGACTAACCTAGCAAGCTTGCAAAGAATTGTAAATAAGAGGGTAAATAAGAGGGTAGCTGAAGAATATGGACTATAGTACCCATATGTGTCAGAAGAGAAAATGGAATTGAACTACACAGTGATAAATGGATGCAGTTTGGGGACTACTTGGATGTGCTTGAGCCCTAAAGATCTAAGGGACTGTTTTCTGGCTTTAGAGACACCTGGAGCTATAGAAGGCACATTTTCATGGACACCATTAGAAGGCTTGGTAAGAGTAAAACTAAGCTTAGCATCGTCATGCTAGACAAGAAGGGGAAGCATGTCAAGCTCCCAGACCCAAATATTATTGGTAGACTTCCAAGGACTTTTTTCTGCTGTAGAAACCATTCTTCATGATGTACTGTTGCTGCAAGAAGGAAGACTGCTCGCTTTTGTCCCCTGTGCAGCAGTGGGGTGTCACTTTGCTGCTACTGCTGCTGCTGCTGCTGCTGCTGCTGCTGCTGAAAAAGAAGATTGCTGGCTTCTTCTGCCCTTTGAAACAGTTAAAAAAAATTTGGGGGTAGATCAATATCTATATTATTATTAAGGGTATGACATTCAAAATTGAACATATACAAGAAAAAGTACAACAAGCACTTACATAAACATGAAATTAACAATATTAATGTATACCATTATCATACAGCTTTTACATAGTCTAAAATTTTTTTCTTTTGTATAGTACTCTCCCTTATCAATTTGGTAGTGGCAAATTATATTCAACATAATATCTCAGATGCCAAATTATCAGTCTCATCAGCTATATCATAAAAATAATTATTGTGAAACAAACAAATAAAAAATTGTATGCTATCTTGGATATTATATGAAGCGAATATGATGTGATTTGCATTGCAGATTACTGTACCCCATTTACTCCCAAAGATCGAAATTATGAAATGTATGCACTGTGAATTAACCAATATAGTTGAATATGTGTATTGGCGTATTTAGAGGAATTGATGTACACTATATTGTCAAAAGTATTGGGAAGCCTGCCTTTGCATGCATGTGAGCTGTAATGGCATCCCAGCCTTAGTCCGTAGGGTTCAATATTGAGTTGGCTCAACCTTTGCAGCTATAACAGCTTCAACTCTTTTGGGAAGGCTGCCCACATGGTTTAGGAGTGCGTCTATGGGAATGTTTGATCATTCTTCCAGAAGTGCATTTGTGAAGTCAGGAACTGATGTCGGATGAGAAGACCCGGCCAGTCTCTCTAATTCATCCCAAAGGTGTCCTATCAGATTGAGATCAGGACTCCAGTGCAGTCCAGTCAGGTTCCTCCACCTCAAAATCGCTCATTTATGTCTTTTTGGACCTTGCTTTATGCACTGGTGCGCAGTCATGTTGGAACAGGAAGGGGCCATCCCCAAACTGTTCCCACAAAGTTGGGAGCATGAACTTGTCCAAAATGTCTTGGTATGCTGATGCCTTAAGAGTTCCCTTCATTGGAACTTAGGGGCCAAGCCCAACCCCTGAAAAATAAACCCACACCATAATCACCCCTCCATCAAACTTGACACTTGGCACAATGTAGTCAGGCAAGTAATGTTCTCCTGGCAGCTGCCAAACTCAGACACATCCATTGAATTGCCAGACAGAGAAGTGTGATTTATCACTTAGAACATGTCTCCACTGCTCTAGAGTCCAGTGGTGGCGTGCTTTACACCACTACATCTGACGTGTTGCATGCACTTGGTGATGTAAGGCTTGGATGCAGCTGCTTAGGCATGGAAACCCATTCCATTAACCTCCCTAGCGGTCTGATTATTTCAGATTTTTGGTGCTGAAAGCGGTACCATTATTTTGCATGGAAATATGTAGTTTTTTTTTATTGTAGGCTGTAATTTTTAGGAATAACTCACTGAAATCTGTCCGAACAAGAGTCTATTAAACATCCCGGGTATGATAAAATTTGAAACACGAAATCATAAATTATAATTTAATAAATAAACATAAAAAATAATAATATAATAATAATACATTTAATTCAATAATATAATCAAACCAAAAACACTGAAATTTGAAATAGAGCGCCAAGTTCGCACATTGCTGAGCAAAGTTGCAAAATCGTTTTCAGTGTCTGATGACGAATTTCCCCACAAATCATTATCACTCAATTCTGCAAGTGGTTCTGATTTACTATCGCTGTTCTCTAGCTGATCTAAAACCGCTTTTGACCTAAAGGGACACTTTTTGGACGCCATGGACTTTTCTCAGTTTCCAGGCAGAAAGAACAGACAAAATGCAGGCAGGGCACAGGACCAAGCACTAGGGACAAAATGTATGTGAAATGGGTTGAAACAGCAATGTTTTGCTATGTAAAATTTGTTTGGAAAAAAATGACATTTTTTAAAAATCTTCAAATTTCCCGCCGCCAGCGGCGCCCGTACGTCCCGACGTCACAGGGACCGGAACACAGAAGCCGGCATCGGCCGGAGGAGATGGCCGGGGACGCTGCAGGGGACACATCGCGGGAGCGAAGGACAAGGTAAGCTCTGCAAGGACTCCCTATGCAGCACCGCATGGTAAGCCCGAGTGTAGCTCGGGGTTACCACTTTTGGTACAGACATTTTACCCTGAGCTACACTCGGGAATACCGCTAGGGAGGTTAAGCTCTCCACGCACTGTTGTTGTGGTAAACTGAAGGCCACATGAAGTTTGGAGGTCTTTAGCTATTAACTCTGCAGACAGTTGGCAACTTCTGCTCACTGTGCGCTACAGCATGTGCTGCCCTCGCTCTGTCATTTACGTGGCCTAACACTTCGTGGCTGAATTGTGGTTTTAGGTTGTTCCCAGTTGCTTACACTTTGTTATAATACCACTAACAGTTGACCGTGGAATATTTAGTAGCAAGGGAATTTCACGGATGGACTTTTTGCACAGGTGGCAACATATCACGGTACCATGCTTGCGTTCACTGAGCTCCTGAGAGCGACCCATTCTTTCACAAATGTTTGTAGAAGCAGTCTGCATGCCTAGGTGCTTGATTTTATACACCTGTGGCCATGGAGGTCATTGGAACACCTGAATCCAATGATTTGGAGGAGTGTCTCAATACTTTTGACAATATAGTGTATTTGAAGTTGATATGCCTGTGGAATAGCATATAACTTGCATTTTACATCAATATATCTAATGATGTGAATAAAATATGTCATTTTATATAATGTTGCTATAAGTTGGTACATCAAAAGTCCTCTAGATATTATTTGTTAGTTTCTTTGGTAAGTGTTCAATTTAGAATGTGGTAACCTTAATAATATAAAAGATATTGATCTGCACTTGTTTGGATTGTTTCTGAAAATTTGGGTGGAAAACAGCCCTGGATGGCTAATATGATAATTACAGAGTTGATTCAAAATAAGATACTATAACATAAAGGAATAGTATATACAATATATAATAACCATAACATGTAGTAGCATAGGTAATAAGATCTAAGGTTTGAGGGACCTCTAATAATAGCCTTAAAGAAACAATTTAGGAGCCTGGCAGGCACTTTTTCAATGTGTTAGGGTTTTTACGACATGTTTTGGGGGCATTTGTTTGTTTCACAACAATAATTTACAATTTGGTGTATTACCCTTGGGTTCTCTTTAGTAATGGCTAGTCTTTCTGCACTTAATATATACAGTAGATGACCGGGCTGTATACATTCAAATAAGTCCCAAGAAGGGTAGCAACAAAGTGATAATTAGTATGTTGTGTTGGGTCATCTTTTAATTAAATGGCATTATACACTTACTATACATGATCCCTTCTCATATTTTAGAGATTGATCACCATTGGTCACCATTGATCACCATTGATCACATTTATATGTGCATCACCTGTCTTGAAACTTATGTAGCTTATGAGATTGATAATTTTATTCACATCATACTGAAAGTGAAGTTGCTGTAGATCTGAGGGGAACATGCAAGGAAAATTAAAAAAAAACAGCATTTTTGCTTGCACATGATTAGATGAAAGAAATCAGTAGAGTTCCGCCTTACTTCAGAGCTTCCCCTCAGATATAAAGCACTGCACTTGCAGTGCACAGTATGTTACCTTTAGTAAATAAACCCCACTGTCTTGTTTTTCATCTGTATTACAAAATGTGGGGTTATTGCGGTTCAAGAGGTAGGTATTGTGGCCCATATACAAAATTGTTTATTTTTTCTACTATATGACACAAATATGCTGTGATTTGCATTGCAGATTACTGTCCACCATTTATTAGTTGCGTTGAATTTGCATTGAATTTTCAATACCATGATACGTACTTGATTGAAATAATGTAATTTATGTACTGTGGATTAACTAATATAGTTGAATATGTACAGTTGCAAGAAAAAGTATGTGAACCCCTTGGGATTACGTGGAGTTTTGCATGAATTGGGCATAAAATGTGCTCTGAACGTCATCTAAGTCACAACAATAGAAGAACACAGTCTGCTGAACATAATACTACACAAACATTAGATGTTGCCATGGTTTAATTACACATAACATGTAAACATTCACAGTGCAGTGAGAAAAAAAGTATGTCAACCTTTGGACTTAATAACTGGTCGACCCTCCTTTGGCAGCAATAACCTCAACCAAACGTTTCCTGTAGTTGCAGATCAGACCTGCACAATGATCTGGAGTAATTTTGGACCACTCCTCTTCACAAAACTGTTTCAGTGTAGCAATATTCTTGGGATGTCTGGTGTGAATCGCTCTCTTAAGGTCATGCAACAGCATTTCAATCGGGTTGAGGTCAGGACTCTGACTGGGCCACCCCAGAAGGCATATTCTGTGCTGTTGCAGCCATTGTTTTGTTGAATTACTTGTATGCTTTGGATCATTGTCCTGTTGCATCACCCCCATCCTCTGCGGAGCTTCAGTTGGCGGACAAATGGTCGTACGTTTTCCTGCAAAATGTCTTGATAAACTCTGGAATTCATTTTCTCATCAATGACAACAATCCGTCCAGGCCCTGAGGCAGCAAAGCAACCCCAAACCATGATGCTCCCTCCGCCATGTTTTACAGTGGGGATGAGGTTTTGATGTTGGTGTGTTGTGCCTTTTTTTCTCCCACACATAGTGTTGTGTGTTCTTCCCAAACAACCCAATCTTGGTTTCATCTGTCCACAGTATATTTTGCCAGTAGTGCTGTGGAACATCCAGGTGCTCTTTTGCAAACTTCAAATGTGCTGCAATCTTCTTTTTGGACAGCAATGGCTTCCTCCGTGGTGTCCTCCCATGTACTCCATTCTTGTTTAATGTTTTCCTTCTTGTAGATGTGTCAACAAAAATGTTAGCATGTGCCAGAGATTTCTGTAGGTCTTTAGCTGATACTCTGGGATTCTTCTTAACCTCATGCAGCATTCTGCGCTGCGCTCTTGCAGTCATTTTTACAGGACAACCAAGCCTAGAGAGAGTAGCAACAGTGCTAAACTTTCTCCATTTGTAGACAGTCTGTCTTACCGTGGACACATGAACATCAAGGCTTTTGGAGATACTTTTGTAACCCTTTCCAGCTTCATGCAAGTCAACAATTCTTGATCGTAGGTCTTCTGAGAGCTCTTTTCTGTGAGGCATGGTTCACATCAGACAGTGCTTCTTGAAACCAGTAAACCCAAAACAGGTGTGTGTTTTTTTAGGGCAGGACAGCTGTCAGCAACACATCCAATATCATCACACTGATTGGAGTCAAGGTTGGCTCACTCCTGGCTCCAATTAGCTCTGGGAGAAGTCATTAAGCTAGGGCCTCACATACTTTTTCCTCCCTGCACTGTGAATGTTTACATGTTATGTGCAATTAAACCATGGCAACATCTAATGTTTGTGTAGTATTATGTTCAGCAGACTGTGTTCTTCTATTGTTGTGACTTAGATGACGTTCAGAGCACATTTTATGCCCAATTCATGCAAAACTCCACGTAATCCCAAGGGGTTCACATACTTTTTCTTGCAACTGTATATTGCAGTACTTGGAGTGCATTGATGTATATGAAGTTGTGGAACAACATTTATTTTGTATTTTATAAACTATCTTTCAATGATGTGAATAAAACATGTTATTTTTCACACAGCATGAGACATATGGTCACTAGGAGGAATTAACATATTATTTAAACTTTCAAACATATCCACAGCCAATCTATTTGCTATAGTAGGCTCTTCTTCGGCTGGTGTTCATAGAACTTGAGCCGAAATGTTTGTTTTCTTTGTTTAATTACTTTTTATACTAACAAACCTTGGAGATTAATATATATATATATATTTTATAAAAACAGGATGTACTCAGTGCTGTCAATGCTGCTGAAGTCAGATTCTCCAAACTGAATTACCCTTTCCTTTGCAATGACACGTATGCTATACCAAACCTAAATTTTTAAGCACCGTTTTGATATTGCATCTACTGAACGTATACCCAATCTACTTTTTATAGTGACATACCAATTCTAATGTACATCTTTAACTGTATTTTATACTGAAAATTTAATAAAAATGTTATGCTTGAAAAAAATGCAATTTTTAGATAATGTTATAAGAGTTGGTACCTTAAAGGTCCTCTAGCTTTTCTTAGGGTTTTTTCATATGTTTCTTCTGTCCTCTGAGCCAGTAGTACTTCTTTACTTCTGGACTGAAGACTGCTGGCCTTGTTTCCTGGACTGTCACTGGTAAGATGTAAACTGCTTAAAATGTTTGCAACCCTTACGGTGAGAGACCTTGGTCACCTTTAAAATGTGATCAGGAGAAAAAATTTGTATGGCTTAGAACTTTCATGCTTTGTCAGTGTGTACAGTTGGGTTCAAAATAATAGCAGTCCGACATCACTAACCTGATCAATCACTGTTTTTGGTAGAAATGATATTTCTACATGGCAAATAATTTACTAGCAGGTGTAGTAGAGTAATAGAGATCCAACAGACCCAACAGTCATGACATGCATGCTGCTGATTCTGTGTAATTGAATCACTAATTGAAAGGGGCATGTTCAAAATAATAGCAGTGCGGAGTTCTATTAGTGAGGTCATTCATTCTTTGAAACACAGGTGGCAATTATTGACCTTATTTAAGGAAGGAAGGCAGCAAATGTTGTACATGCTGGTTACAGTGCATTTCTCTCTCAAATTCTGAGGAAAATGGGTCGTTCCAGACATTGTTCAGAAGAACAGCGTATCTTGATTAAAAAGTTGATTGGAGAGGGGAGAACAAAGAAGTGTAAAAAATGATAGGCTGCTCAGCTAAAATGATCGCAAATGCCTTATAATGGCAACCAAAACCTGAAAGACATGGAAGAAAGCAAAAAACTACCATTCGAATGGACAGAAGAATAGCCAAAATAGCCAACAATCAGCTCCAGGAAGATCGAAGAAGGTCTAAAGTTACCTGCGAGTACTGTTACAATTAGAAGATGCCTATGTGAAGCCAAGCTATCTGCAAGAAGCCCCTGCAAAATCCTACTGTTGAAAAAAAGACATACTGAAGAGGTT